GCTGAGCGGAGCCTCCTCTGGCTCTTGCATGAGTCTTGGGGCGGGGAGCACGTGGCACTGGGCCCCTCTTCTCGGCCCTTCCCCTCTCTCAAAAAGGTGTGCGCTGCATTGACAGCTGCACTGATGCTGGGCCTGCCACAGTCGGCTCCTCCCTTGCTGTTTCTCTCTCACATTAAACAGGGGAGTGGGTTGGGGGACAGTGAGAGGAAAAATTCTCCTTCAGCCCCAACTCTAATCTTCCCCTGTGGGAAATCCTGGGTGAGAAGAGGCTGCAGAGTCCCTGGATGCAAACAAATGCAGCCTCTGCCAGGCTAAGGCAGCGAGTTTAAGCGGATTCCCCACCTCCTGCAGTAAGAACATTACGGCCCAGACATCACAAGTGCAGGCACTGCTGGCTGGAGCGGCCGTCTGGCCTCAGCTTCTGGATTAATGCAAGTGGAAGGGATGAAATACCCGGGACTCGGCGAGGAAGGAGCCAGGCTGGCCTCTGGAGCTGGGACACAAGGTTCTGTGGGCAAGACACATTTGCTAAGCACGTTAGCACTCACTCTGCACTAACCTTGGTTGCCCAGTGGCTTTGCTTAGTCCTAGCACAGCACCTCTACAGCGGTGAAAAAGATATGGTCTTTGCTATGTCATCAGCTGCTGTAGGTGTAGTGAGAGCATCCAGTGAAGTGAAGGGCTGACTTTCTCCGAATGTTCAGTTTTGTACTAGGTGACTTTCTCTGGTTGTTTTCTTTGACCCCTTCGGCCTCCATTTCACTGTTATTGGTCACACAGCCTTTTACATTTGTGTCAGTTCTCCTGTCCATGAGTCTCCCATCCATAGCTAGATGCTGCGGGAGTTGGAACTACTACATCACCCATGACTGAAAAGCAAAGACCAGAGTTTTTAGAGAGAGGAGAGCGGTGCACACGGATAGGGTGGGCTGCACCAGGTGGCACCTCTGCACCTGGGACGGTGGGACTGGTCGCATGTGTCATGGCCTGGGCTGCCTCCTGTGCCTGGGCCAGGCCTGGTTGAGGGACCTGCCATGGGCTGGTTAGAATCCTTTGGCGGGCTGGATCCAGCCCACGAGCCTTATTTTGTCCACCCCTGGATTAGACCCTTCTGGTTTCTAGACAAGAGCCTTCTCAGAAGGAGCAGTTTTCCACTACGGTTGTCAGATAAATAGTGACTCATGTTTGACTGCCTATCTTTACAGATGCTGCTGACAAAACTAAAACAGCAAAGCCATTTGATCTTTAGTCACTGCCAATGAAACTGAAACAGTCTAAACTAGGCCGTCCATGTACTGAAAAGGACAAAGTATTCATGGGGATGAACACTTCCTTAAGGCTAATCTTAAGCACTCTTTTCCCTAAATTAACTCATCGGTACGTTCCTGTACTTTTCCACAGATAATTGCTGCTGAGATGTACACATTTTGGCAGTAGTTTAAGGGGTTAACAAATACTCACACTTGCACTTTGAAGTGTTTCTACATAATAAAACATCAACCTCCATCGGTTCACGTCTCTGGACAGTAGATTCCAGTTCCATATGAGAGGTTTTCATGATGGATCAGAATCAACTGGGCATGTAAGGGTTAGGAAGGAATTTTAAAATCATAACCATTCCCACAGGGTCTTGTGGATCAGATCCTGCTTGGATCAGCATTTTTGATCTCTTCACACATGCACTAAGAGACCACAGGATCACTTCATCTGTTGCAGAAGAGGTAGTTTGGCAATAGTTTTCAGTTCCCATGTTGCGGACAGTGCTCCTTTGTTACCTCTGGGCATTTCGTGGGGTTGGAGAAGTGGGATGTAGAGAAGCACAGAGAACTGCTGCATAGAGCACACACCAACTGCTGAAGCTTCCTTAGCCTGACGAAGGGTTTTTGAACCCGAAAGCTTGCTTAATAACTATTCTCCAACCATTTGGGTTGGTCTAATAAAAGATATCAAATTCACCCAAGGAACCTTGTCTGCATAAAGATGGACGCACTTATTTTCCTGTAGCTGCTTTTCTTTAACATTCAAAACTGATCAGTCTGCGTTTGTGGAATTACCCACAGCAGCAAGCTGGGTGTAAGTTGTCCAGGTGAAGAAGCCAAGAGAGGAGTGTTTGTCAGAATTTGCATGAAACAGAATGGAGAATGATGAAGTCCCAGGGCAGGTGGCATGCGCAGAAGAATGCTCTTTTGTTCATTGGAAAAAGACAAGTTTCATTGGAGCAGGTTTTCTACTGAGATGGTGGAATTTCCATCCTTGGTGGTTTTTAAGGCCTGGCTTGACAAAGCTTTGGCTGAGATGATCTAGTTGGGGATGGTCCTCCTTTGAGCAGGGGGTTGGACTCTATGACCTCCTGAGGTCCCTTCTGACCCTAATTTTCTATAATTCTATGTTGCACAGGCCAGGGAGGCAATTGCAAAAGGATCTGTTGTGTGGTGGAGGGACTGAAGTGCCTCCTGGCCTAGTTTTTCTCTGGAGAAATGACAGAAATGTGCTGTTTACAAGAGGAGAGGGACTGGGGGAAAGCAGGAAATAAACGTGCCAAACCTTGTGCCTGAGGACTATTTCTAACACTTCCACTGCTTCCCTATGTCTCGGATAAGTGCAGCTGATTTGCTTCTCTCCACTGGCCAGGAGGCAAGTCAGGACAAGCTAGGAAAGCCTGTTGTCCCTATGCAAAGTAAAAACTAGTCACTTGCCTCTAGCCCTCAGGAGAGAGCAGAGTCTTTTTGCAAGTCTCATTACTGCCAGAACAAACCCTATTCAGGGATTTCAAGCATAGTGACAGCAGAGCTGGGGCAGCAGATGCTAAACTCTCCAGTTCACTGAAGTAGTTATCCACTGCGTGGTTACTGGGCCAGCAAAGAACTGCACATCAGTTACTACTGATTCCTTTTCTGCCCTTTGTGCAAAGGTGAAGCATTTGGATTTGTACAGTAGGATTATTTCTTTGTGTGCCAGTACACTGGTAGCATTAACACTGCTCTGTGTTACCAGAAATGTTCTGAGTAACCCAATTCAACCAGCTGGGTTCAAATAGATACAAACTTTGGTATTTCTATCAAGGCAATCCCAGAGCTGCACAGATTTGGGGGGAGGGGGTGGCTCCTGGCAGTAGATTTAAGCTTTTATGATTGTGTTGACTGTGGTACAAAAGAAACCTGTCTTACTGTCCTTGTGATATGAAAGAAACCTATCCCTACTCTCCTGGCCACTTAAGAGTAGCCTCGGTACAGTATGTACCGTCATAAGACCATTGTGAATGCTCATGTTTGACCTTGATCCCAAGTTATCCCAAAACTATACACAAGTGGGCAATGCTGACTGAGGGAGCAATTGGGTGGTAGCTATAAACAAGCTATAAAAACCTATCACTGGAGGAAGGTGGTGCCCAAATAGAACTTTCCCAATTGATACCGATGCCCTGTATAACTTCACTTTCTTCCCTTGGCACTTTGCAGCATACCTGTCTCAAAATACCATGGCACGACGCACACGTAACAGCAGAGCCTGGCACTTTGTCCTGAGTGGGGTACGCCGTGATACAGACAGCCGGGCAGTAGCTTTGGCCACTGGCACACATGGCTGGGGCTACGATTCTGACGGGCAGGTATGCTGATACATTAACACTTCAAAAAATTCATACTCGCTGCAGAAGAGGCTATGTTCTAAACATGCACGAGGGAGCCCTTTCTTTTTCCACAATATGGATTGCTAATGGTTCAAGATCTAAGTCATTGTGGTATTAGCGCACACAGTGTACCAAAATCAGACAGACCTCTAGTTGAGGCTTATAGGTCATCTAAGCTGATGCCATTGCACTTTCTTCCCCTGTAGGTATTTTTTGCTAACTTCACTTACTTTAGATTTAGCTTTGCACCCACTTACCAGCCTGCAGCTTGTCCATCACTTCTGAAAATGGCTTAATAAGAATCATGTGTTGTATGGAAGACAGGAACAAAGCAGGAAAAGTAATTATTAAAAATAGCACAAGAAAGGACAAGTTAAAATAGCCACTAGTGTCCTTTTACTTGCTTTCTTCTTGGGGGCATGGATTAAACTTCCTTACAATGCAACTATCCAGTTTAAAAGCTTTTAAGTTTAGTACAGTGAGTCCAGAAGAACAGCCTACTGTTGCCTTTGTTTGGCTGTGTCAGTTTGGCTTAATGTTTTTATGTTGGTAACTCTCTATAAATCTTTCACGTTGGTTATTTTGGAGGAATGAGTCAGAGAAATCTTCCTAAATGTTTTCCAGTCTTCAGGCTAATCCGCAGACAGTGATACAACAGGGGCAAGCTATAGACAAATGAGCCAGTCATACTGAACCGGAGTACCTCTTTCATGTGCCCCTGTAGCTGTCTGTTTTGAAGGCGATGTTATTCCTAATGCCAGAGTATATAATTCAACTTGGGCAATGGAGCAGGAAAGCACAGGAAACTCAGAGCTCAGTCTGATTTAACACCAGGTAAATCCACAGGAATTCAGTGAAGTCCATGGGCACCAGCTGCTGTAAATGAAACTAGACCAACCCTCACAAAAGTATCAGAGAATGCAGTTCAGATTTGATTAGAACTTGATCTGGAGATGGAGATGGTAACCTACCCTGGCTGCTGTTGTCACTCATGTCTTTGGTGCCCATACATCATAGTGAAGCAGTGCATTTTAATGAAAGGATCTCTTAAAGGCAGGTCCTTCCATTCCTCCCTCCCATGGGACAGAGGCCATCTGAGATGCTAGAATGGTCACCTCTGCATGAGGAATCACAGCACAACCATCTGTGCATTTTTAAAGCACACTTGGGATTTTTTCCTTTGTTTGCTTTACTCCTGTTAGTCATTAACACTCTACCCCCCTGTTCATTCTGTTCCATTTCTAACACTTCCACTGCCCAACCTCACTTTCCTGTCCCGTTTCCTCCTCTTATCATTCAACACCTCTGAAAGTGCCACACAGTCCTGACTGGCTCAGGAGCTACATGAACAGGCAGTGCTAATCAAAGATCCATGACAACATACGCACCCCTGGTTAATTGTGGCCAGCACACTCCAGTTTATAAGAAAAGCCCCTGCAATGTGCTCATTAAACAACTGCAAAGAAATGACCAAGCATCACTCACGCAATGCTTTCTTACACCCCTGTATTAAATTACAGGCACAGAATGCTGCGTTTGATAGTGCTGTCTGCAGAGCACCACAGTCCAAGTGTCACTGCTCTAATGTCACAAACGTGTACATTAAAGACCCGCATGGCTGTATACTTATCACTTATTCAGCCTTGCTTGAACACTGTTATGTCTCTCCCCCTCTCCTTACTACCACCCCCTTTTTATCTGCATGGGACTTTTGCTTCTTAGTTCATGTGCATGTTGGGGTCTTTGGGCCTTACTACAATAAAACAAGTAAAGCTGGCTCTGGGAAGGACATCTACATCTATTGGGTGCCCACATTGGTGATGTGTAGGGGATGCACCCCCTGAGATTGGTGGTGCCCCCTCTGCAAAAAGTGCTACCGATGCTGCCTGCAGGCGGTCACCACTCACCACCTTGCCGCCAACAGCGTCTGTGGGTGGTCCCCGATTGCCGCTGGCCACCGCCGACAACATGTGTGTGTGGTTGCTGACCTCTGGTTGGTGCTTCCCTCCCCCTGTGCCACTGACACTGCCGCAGCTGCCTGCAGGAGCTCTCCGCTTGGCTTGCCCCCACTGCTGACACCGCTGCTGCCTGCAGGCAGTTGCCAGGCCCCCCCCAGCCTCTGGGGGCACGAGTCATTCATGGGTGCCCATCAAGTTTTGAGTTTCCAATGGCATCAGTAACTGTCCCTCTGCTTTCTTATGGCAGCACAGTGACTCTGACTCAGAGCCAGAGTTTCCTTCCCTCTCGCCATCCATCCCTAGCGCCATCCCTGTGACAGGAGAGTCCTACTGCAACTGTGAGAACCAAAATGAGACTCCGTACTGCTCCAGCCTGCACACCATCCACCGTGTCAAGGACTGCCAGTGTGGCGAAGAGGACGAATGTAAGGAAGCAGCTCCTGCCTGTTCTTGCTACGCCTTTGGGTTTGAGTGGGTCTTGATTTGTCTTTGTGTGTATGATGTGGGTTTCCACCTGTTATGTGAATGGGGGTGCCCTGTGCTCACCTATATGTTAAGTTTGAAGGGAGACAAGAACTGCTGTCTACTAAGGAAGCTAACCTTTGCTGTTTATCCATGGAGTATGGGTCTATGTAAGCACTGTATCCCACAGACATAAGGGTAACAGGTGTCCTGTGTGAATATGTTAATGAATCCGATCTTACTTCTGGACACCTCCTTCAAATCTAGTTTAGGTTACAAGTGAATTTTAGCTTTGTGGTTATGTCCTAGTATCTAGTTATCTCTGATCTGCATAAGTTGGCAATTATGCAGGGTAGCTTTGCAGTAACTCATTAATGTTAAATAGAGCTTGTGGCTGAGCTGAGGGGCTGGAGGAGTGTTTCAGGTCAGGACTGAGATGCCCTCACATTTATTTTGTTCTGGCTGCAACTTCCTGAGTTTAAAAAGAGATAAAAATTCAGTTCTCTAAAAAACAATGCAGCTCTGGAGGGGTCTGCATGACCATTCTCACAAGTAGAAGTCATCCAGGCACCTGGCTTCCTGACTCTGGCTCTGTTTTGGCTACTGCTCTTATTTTGCAAATGCTTCCTTTGGAAATGCTGAAGGCAAGGCTTTCCCTCTCATTCACTACCTGGCTTGCATACAGGCCTTGCTGCTGTCAGCAGTTGCATGTAACCCATGGGACTGTGTTCAGTAATTGCTGTCGTAAAAGACTGCTCACATAACTGAAATCTCTTGTTAACCTAAAATGAGGACCATTGTTTAATGGTGACAGACTTGGTTAATAGATGATCTTCTATGTCAGACTAGAGCAAGATGATTTTGGGCTGTAACAGGCTAACTGTTAAGTTCAGCCAGTTTGGTATTCAACAGGCTAGAGCATTAAAAAAAAAAAAAGACATCTTAAGAGACTTTTAAATTGATGGAAGCTCCGTTAAGTTTCTGGTTTGGCAGTATTTCCCACCACTTAAAGATATCCTGCATCTTCCGTCTGAACAGACTTTGACTGGGTGTGGGATGACCTGAACAAATCAACAGCAACCCTGCTGACCTGTGACAACCGCAAGGTGAACTTCCACATGGAGTATAGCTGTGGTACTGCTGCTATCCGTGGAAACAAGGAGCTGGGAGAAGGACAGCACTTCTGGGAGATCAAGATGACCTCTCCTGTCTATGGCACTGACATGGTATGTTGCGCTGAAGTGCTTAGAATTGAGGAGGTGCAGAGGGGCATTCTTTTAATAGAACAATACATGACAGCATGTTTTACTTATAAAACTCAGAGTCTTCCATGAGTGGGTGTCATCACTTAAATGAAAAGAAAACTTAAATGACTGACTTGAGGCCATGGACTGAGACGGTGGCAGTCATGACTAGAACCCAGATCTCTGGTTTTATTTCTGTGCATTTTATTAGATTGTTGATCACTGTTGGTGAGCTCAACAGGACAGAACAGAGAGAAGACTGGCCCTAGCCCGAGGTGCTTACAGTCTCAGGCATGCAGAATATGTCTGCTGAGAGGTGCATCATTTCCTCACTGCAATTAAGGTTAACATGCAATTAATTCTGGAAATAGCAATGGAGTGTAGAAGAGCCAGTACTGGCTGCTTGTGTGATCACTTCCTGATTTCTTCCAAGTGAAGCATAACTTTGTTCAGACCTTTGGTAACTCCTAGATCAGAGGACTAAATAGACCCTGTGACTTAATTCTGCCAAATCTCATGTCTCTTGGGGCACACTAAGAAAAATATTAGGGGAGTTCCCAAGATGGAAGCCATGTATGGTGTTTCACTGCACTTAAACCACCAGGTAATTCTGTAGCAGAAACTGACCTTGTTTTCCTTTGGCATGGGCTTCTTCCATCTAGATGGTGGGAATCGGAACTTCAGATGTCAACCTGGACAAGTACCGCCACACATTTTGTAGCCTGCTGGGCAAGGATGAGGACAGCTGGGGACTCTCATACACAGGTAATGCAGGCAGGGGCAGTGGGAGTGCTCCCCCTACAGCTAAGCAGGAGGTTGAATTGGGGAGGTTAATAAATATGCAAAAGCCTTTTTCTACCCATTATGGAACACAGTGCTTTGTGGAGTGGGAGTAAAATTGAAATAGCCACTAGGATGGTGATTCTGCTTTGTCGCAAACATACTTTGCTGGAACTGCTGCCTGCAGCCAGCCTACACACAGTGATTAAATGTATGCAGGGTGAAGAATTCCTCCATATCACTAGTAACTGCTATATTCACTGGGAGTGCTTCCATATATTAAGTCTGATAGAATGAAATAATTCCCTAATATAGTTTCTGGCAGGTAGGAAAGCCCTGCCAGCAAGCCTCCACCTATAAAGGAGGAGGCTTGAGGGGTGGTACAATCTTTGGCTGTCCAGTATTTTCCATATGAGGCTGATAACAAGACCAGCACCTTTGAGTGTACTCAGAATACCTTTACTCATGTCATTGGGCTGTCACATAATAGGCAGACCCCTGCACAAACCAGCAATGTAGAGGCAAGATTATATTCCTCTGTTGCCTGTCCCCTGAGCTGCTGAAGGACCATGCTTTCTGATCCTGTCCTTAACTTAGCATTGTGGGTAATGATTACTGATCCTGGGGAGAATCTAAGGATGTTGTACTGAGCAGCTGAGTCTACATAGACAAGGTGCTTGTACACTGTGGTGGGACTGAATGATGGAATATGGGTTTGCTTTTTAAGGGCTTCTCCACCACAAGGGAGACAAAATAAACTTCTCATCACGGTTTGGCCAAGGCTCCATTATTGGGGTTCATCTTGATACGTGGCATGGAACACTCACCTTCTTCAAAAACAGGAAATGTATAGGTAAGAACAAAGGTCATAGTGGCCTTTCATCCCATCAAACGCACATCTTGATACAAAATGATAGACCAGGACTCAGTGGCAATGTGTAGGGGGTGCACGTGCACCCCCGACTAAGACAGTACCAGTTGCCCATGCCCGGACTTACAGGGGAGGGTTGTATGAATTATGGAAACATGATACTTTTGGCCAGGATCTTTGCCTTGTTAGCTCTTGAAAGCCCTGGTATCATGTAGCTGTTGGAAAAAGTGGAATGAGAATCCATTTGCTTCTCTGAGTGACAAAATAGGATTAGGGGTATAAAGATGGGGGCAAAGGATATCCCTATTCATCAGCAGCCCTGGTATCAGAAAATCTGTTTTCACGCTCTCTTAACAATATGTAGGCACCCTGTTTAACTAGGCAGAGAGAGGAGGATGACAGACAAGATGACATAGCATCTTAGGAGCAGTGCCCTTGCCATTGCACTGAGACCAGAACTCTTTGTTTCTGTTACCTGGCAGGAGTTGCAGCTACCAAACTTCAGAACAAGAAGTTCTACCCGATGGTATGCTCCACTGCAGCCAAAAGCAGCATGAAGGTGATTCGCTCGTGCGCCAGCTGCACGTCCCTTCAGTACCTCTGCTGTTACCGCCTCCGCCAGCTGTTGCCTAACTACATGGATACACTGGAGGTGCTTCCATTGCCACCAGGACTCAAGCAAGTTCTACACAACAAGCTGGGCTGGGTCCTGAGTATGAACTATAGCACATTGAAGCCTTCCTCCTCTTCATCAGGAAGCGACTCAGATAGCTCCTGTGGCTCAGATGCAGAGGCATGCCAGAGGAAGAGGTGCAGGAGGACATAACTTATTTCCAAATAAACTGCTTTGTGGGACTTTGGGTGGGGTATTGTTTTACTCTCTCCATGGCAATCCAGGCCAAGCATCTCCCTCTTTATGGGACATAAACTTCTACTCAAGTTTGCAAAGATAGAAGCATCAACCACTTGCATTGAAAATATCTAGCAACTCAGAGAGCAACTCCTTCGAAACAGACAGCCCAGATAATCCACAGCAAAATGTTCTAACTTAATCTACTTGCCACCAAAGTGACTAACTCTTCTCAGGGGAGTACACTTGTTTGCAAGACAAGTTTTCAAACTGGCTTCCTGATTTCAAAGTATACTTCTCTTCTAGCAAACTATAATCAAATAACCTACTTGATTCCCATCAAAAGACAAAATTTGTTACCACTCCACCTTTCTAGCTGCTGTATGCTGGTCCAGTACTTGCAATAAATGCACTGCAATGTTGGGACCTGATCAAAACAGCAGTGTTTAGAGAAAGAAGCTCCTAAAAATGCATCTACATGCATTGTCATTGGTAACTGAGAGCAAGTACTTGTAAATTGAGCTGTAAGGGATCTCATTTGAGCTCTATGATGACTTTAATTGCTTTGCATGTTGGCTACTGCAGCTTCTATATCAGACTGTATTAAATTGTAATAAAAATATAAACTATTCTTAATTTTTCTAACTTCCCGTGAAGGTATTCTTGATATCAGGTTTATATCCTGACATTCTAACTAATAGATTAGAATTACTTAGAATTCTATTAAATTCCATGCCTCAGAGTTTTTACCAATTGAGATGAGATCTTGGGGTATAAATTATTGCCACATCCACCTAGCACAAGGTTTCTGTGTCTTTTGAGCATGTGATGCTGGCCACTACCAATCAAAATCCTAGACTAGAGAGATCCATGTGGCCACACTGAGACTGGTTTTGAAAGGTGGTGTGGGGAGCAGGGGTTTCTTTCTGCTTGTGAATCAAAATCATAATAAAAAAGGCTCAATATTTAGTGTGTGAAGTTCTTAGTGAAACAGCAGTTCCACACAGCTCTCACTCAATATTCTTGTGGGATAGATGACCCCCCCTACCTGTGAGGTAATCTAAAACCCAGTACAGCTTCTATGTTCTTATTTTACATGATGATTTTGGGAGATGTGCCTGCTGCCTATAGCATGTTCATTTCTCTTGTATACTGGACTAAGGGTAGAACAAAGGCTGCAACTTTAATCAATCAAAGATTAAACTGGCAGTGGTCTGACATCACTCCTGGTGATCTGCAAGCAGGGAGGGACCCTTTTTCTAGGTCAAAATTACTCTACATTAAGATTTTAAACAGAGGGGAAAGTGTTCTTTAATTGTTTGCAACACTTTGTAACCACAGGCACCTTGTTAATAACTGGCACATCTAGACAAGGTGATAGGAGCAGATACTGAGTAAGTAACAGACAGTAAAAACCTTCAGCTTTCTATAATAGGAGGACTTACTGGCTCAAGGTACAGATTATTGAGCTATTTCAAATAGGATGCTGATGACTTGGCACCTGTTACTGCCAATATTTATAGTCCCCTATGACAAAGTAGCATCACAAGGCCTGTGTGTTAGGGCAAGTAAACTTCCACCTCACCTTTCATACCTGCACGTGACGGGAAGCCAACACGATGGAATGTCAACATACAATTAAAGCTCCTCCTTGCTTCCCATATCACCTCAGTCAGGGCTGATTTAGCACATGACTTCTAAGTCAGTCCTCTCCAGTTCCATTTAGGAGTACACCAATAGAGATTTTGGGGGCCGATACTGATAACTGATTTTTAAGGAGGCGTATTGGCTGATACCGATCCAATTTCCAATACACAGTCTGGCAGCATGGAGAAGCTGCATGCAGCTGGTAAGTCTGTCGTGAGGGAAGGGGCGCGTGGGGTGGGGCGGCACATCAAGGCCCCTGTGGTGAGGGAGTGAGTGGGGCTGGGGCAGGCGCTGCCCAGCCAAGGCAGGACATGGGATGGAGCAGGGGTTGCCGGGGGG